ATATATATATATATATATATATATATATAATAATAATAATAAAATAATTAATAGGTCCATAAATTAGAGTGGTACAAACAAAAGAGACAGGTTGTTGCATTGCATGGCAAGTTGGCAACAAGTCAAATAATAGCCCCACTTCATTGACACTCCCTCACTTTTTAATTTTTATTCATGTAAAGACAAAAAGGTTTTTTATTTACATAAATGTAAATTTGTAGACTGGTAGAAAAACATGTGACATTTTGCATATAATTATTTGTAAATTTCATTGTTTCAATTAATATGATGTGGTTAACTGAATACAAAAAAAATGATGAGAAGAGCCTATATTAACACTACTTCAATAAAGGATATTAAAGTATTCATACTAGATGTATAAATCCAATTAATAAAATTAATTTGAATGACACATATTTTACATTATTAATTATTTTGATTTAAGCATGTGGTATAAGTAGATTCTTACTTTAATTTAGAGCATTAAAGTCAAATATGTTGGGTTTTAAAAGGTGTGAATGGAAAATGAAGAGTTGCAACTTTTATGAAAAGTTGTGACTTTGATGAAAAGTTGCGACTTTTATGAAGAGTTGCGACTTTTATGAAAAGTTGCGACTTTTATGAAAAGTTGCGACTTTTATGAAAAGTTGCGACTTTTATGAAAAGTTGCGACTTTTATGAAAAGTTGCGACTTTTATGAAAAGTTGCGACTTTTATGAAAAGTTGCGACTTTTATGAAAAGTTGCGACTTTTATGAAAAGTTGCGACTTTTATGAAAAGTTGCGACTTTTATGAAAAGTTGCGACTTTTATGAAAAGTTGCGACTTTTATGAAAAGTTAAAAAAAAAATTCTGGACTTCTTCTTCTACTACTAAATCTAGTATTCTAAGTGTACTTTACTGTCGTTGAGTGGCTCGCTGACACCAGCGTTTTGGGTATCAATACACTGGTGATTGAGATCATTCTATCCTGGGAGGACATATTCCAAATCAAACCTCGGATACTAGAGGGGAATAATTTCCTTAAGGGGACACTGTGCATTCAGTGGGCTTGATCTTCTTTCTGTTTTTCCAAATTCTGGGATGTGTTATAGATTTTAGATTTGTGAATTAATTATGTTCTTCTGTTCTTCATTGGTTCAGTAAACTTTGGTAACTTCGTGTTTTTGCAAAGTTTATTGGAATCAGTAAGATTCTTTAAACATAGATTGACAACAATTCTTCTTTAAGAAAAAATATTTCGTATATTTTTTCTAATCTGTTTCTGATTCTAGTTTCTCTACTAGTTTTAATTTTCTAGTTGTGAAAATGTTTTTAAAACTTTATTGCGTCTTACCAAGTTCTTCAAAGTTTTGTTATAAGTATCTTAGGAATACAAGATGAACAACAAAATAATGTTATATTTTTACTCTCAATTGGAGTTTGGAACTAAATGATTTTTATGTAATTGAAATTTACATGTTCGCAAACGGATTGAAATGTATTGAAAAAAAAATAAAATAGAATTTCATTTTGAAACTATTAAAAATTGATTGAGAAAAAATAAAACAAAAAATAATTTATTTTGTATAATTATAATATTGCTACACACAATGAAACAAACAAGATATAATACATATTACATCAGTGCTTTATCTCAGTACAAAAATATTTCTCACAAATTTAAATTTAAATAAGACAGACAAAAAAATATTAAAAAATTTAAATGATATAACTATGTATAAAATATAAATGTTTCAAGAGTTGGAAACAAAGTGCGAAAATAAAAAACTGCATAAAACAAACAAGATATAGTATACTAACGCTATATTCTCAATACAAGCTTTTCTCCAAAAATTAGAATTTCATTCAAGTTTTAGCGAGAATATCAAGCATTCAATAGGAAATTAAAAGAAATAAAATATAATTAGTGTACATAGGTATAAATATTTTGAGAGTTGACCAAAGTTTAAGGTTACTACATAAAATGAAACAATCAACCTTATGATATATCAACATTTTACCCTCAACATGTAACTTTACACAAATTTAAATTTAGTCGATTTTTAATATAAATCTTAAATGTCAAATAAAAAAGAAAAAATATAAAAGATAATTATAGTATAAATATAAATAGTATATTTAAAGATTCGGAGAGTTGACCAAAGTTTCAAAATTACCATTCATACATAAAATGATATAATCAAGATATGATATATCAACATTTTACCCTCAATATGTAACTTTACCTCACAAATTCAAATTCAATCAACTTTCTATAGAAATATAAAACGTCAAATAAAATCCTAAAATAAAGTACAAGTATAAATAGTACACATAAAAATTTAAAGAGTTGACCAAAATGTAAAAATGACAAATTGCTATATAAAATGAAATAAACACGATGTGACTTATAAATATTTTACTTTCAACATGAGATTTTCCGCTTAATTTTAAATTTACTTGAGTTTCAATATAAATATCAAATTAGGATAAAAAATTAAAATATTAGATACAGTATAAGTATTTTGCGAGTTGGGACCAAAGTGGTAAAAATAGCATGCTTTCTCTATATAGAACACCATTTACATATACATACACGTGTATAATAATATATATATATA